GGGCCTAAAGGTGTTATACCTATCCCCAGTATAACAGGAGGGCTGTTATATTAATTAGTACTTAATCATTAGTGAAGTCAATATGCAATTTACAGAAATGTGACTCAATCATAATGTACTGGAGTCCATCTGTTCTTTCACAGCACTGCAACGCTAGATCAAGAAGTAAGATATTTTTATTTCTTTTTCAAATTGTCAATAATGATTATCATGACTGATTGCTCAATCTTTATCTGGGGCACATTTTAATAATATCCCAAGTAAATACCACATGACTATGTCTTCTTCAAAGCTGTACTAATCAACTTTTTTATATTAACAATGGATCAAATGACTACATAATGATGTAATGTGAAAGGGATCACAAATAATTATCACCCAACTCGGCAGTTGCCCTCGAAAAGAAAGATAAGAAAGAAAAATACAAAGCTTTTTTACATCTCTCAGCTCTTTCGGTTTTATGACTCGCAACTTTACTGTTTGGTTCGGTCTCACCATGCTATCATCAGCCCTCCTTCCAGAAGCAGCAAATCCTCTGATGGAACCACAGTACATTTAGCAACTAAAAATCCACAGTAGACATGTCCCTCAGGAGTTAGTGGAGGGCAAAACAGCTAGACTAGAACCAGAAGAAGAAAATTTGACTTATATTCATGAGGTGGATACAAACATGACTCCAAGTGAATTCTAATTTTGCTCCTTATCTGCCGGATTTGTAAAAGGCAATTGTTCGCAAAGATATTCAGCACAACAACTTAAGGTGAGGATATGTCAGTGTTGTGTTTACTGCTTTGTCAAAAGTGGCCAAAAATCAAGCAATGCTGCTTAAACTGTGCTTCTGCGTATGATACTTATTTGCAAAAAAACAAATTATATTTATTTGTGCGACAGTCCTTAATACCCCTTTAATTTATGTAAAAATTATGCCCATGAGTCATTGAATGTGCAACTTGAATTCATTGTTCTGACTCATTTGACATTATTGCAGCGTTCTTTTACACAACCATTGACCGGTGGGAAAATTAATTTTAATGCCACAGTAACAAAGTTCTTCAAAAAGACAAAATGTTCAGATGACTCAAACTTATTGAAATACTGAGACTTTTCATTTTCACAATATGAAAGAAGGGACTGTATGAAGCAGCACAGCATACATACATATTACAAAACTCCCACTACTGTCTAACTTACATTTGAAAAGGTTATATATCCACAAGAACATGTCTGGTAGATATAGATAGAGTTTCAGTTACAGGATGTTGTAACATGTAGCAGAGATGTGGCCTGATTCAGTGGACGTCCTTGGAGCCTAGAGAATCACTATAATCTCAGCATCTCTATCCTATTTAGGGAGATGAGATCAGTGGACAAAGAGAAGAGCCAAAAGAGGCTGGCTGATCTAAAGAGGGTTTTGCTTCATTTTGGATATCCTGTTTAGGATGGTGGATTTATAGAGGCTTACACCACTGCAAAGAAATGTGTCTGTGTATGTGAGTGTGGATGGGTAAGGGGTGTGTAGTGGGTGGAGGGGTTGGGTTCATGACAGGGTATCCCACTATCAGCACTATCGGTCCTCCCAAGATCTCATTATTCACTGCTCAAGCTGACTACATCATAACAAACACCAAGTGGTCAAACATTTGGGCATGCATGCACGTGTAAAAGGTCCATTATGTGAAAAGTAAAATAAATCACTGAAAGCTACAGGATAAAAATCCATATGAAATGATAAAAGAGACATTGTGAGAATAAAAAAAGGAGATAGAAATAAAGAATATATAAGACAGAGACTTCCAGATTGTGAGGTTGTCAAAGGGGCAAGAATTGAAGAGGTGAAGCAACAGTTTTTGGATGGTTGGCTCGAGTCCTGGCTACTGATTGATCTCCAGGTGACAGCCGGTGTCGGGGGCCCTCGGCCAGGCTGTCATTCCCTCTCGCTCTCCCACCCTCCCACCCCCTCTCATCTCATCGCTCTGTCGCTCTCTCTTTCTCCCACACTGCTTTTTAAACTCGCAGTTGTGCCAACTAATCTCTCACCTTCTTCTCTCTCCATTGATTCAGCTTCTAGCTCTTTCTCTCTCTCTGTCCTCCTCATCGTCATTCTGCTCCTCCACCCTTTTCACCCCTTCAATGGCGACAGTTGGTTTCTCCATCGCTCTGTTCTACCCTCCAACAACTCCTTTTGGTCCCCCACTGTTGGGAACCAACTGTCCTCTACCAGGCAATATCCATTCCACACCACCTATTTAGTATGCAAGAGAGCATAATTGCTCATGTGGAGGGATTTAGTCTGTGTTTGTGTCCAACCGTGTGTGTGTCGGTGTCTGTGCCCTGAAAGCCTATGAACGCAGCATTAGTTTTCTTCAGACATAGCCTAGGGATATTTTGGTGACCTTGGTCTTCAGTGAGTATGGGTATGTGCTGCTCAATTATAGGGATTTCATTTTCCTGTGTATGGGTGTGCACATGCACTCTCTAGCTTGTGTTCGTGCTTGTGCTCACGTGCGTATGCACATGCGTACGTACAGGCACCCTTGAGGGGCATGCGTAATGATAGGCTCGTTTGCACAGCTCTGCCTCTAATGATCTATTAAAGTACACTTAGCCAGTAATTATATGGCCAGTCCCAAAAGGCTTATGAGGCCCCACAAGGGATAACTAAAGATGCAAGAAGACTATAGAAAAGCCAATGTTTTTTATCTAATGCACCAGAATCAATGATATCATGGCCTTAAGTTTGTGCTTTAGGTTTATGATAAATAAATAAAGGATATCAAATTAGAACATTCTCCCGATGTGATCACATAGTAGGTTCAAAATAAGATAGAGATTAAGAGTTCCTCAAGCTTTGCTGAGGAACTCTTAATATCACCCTTCTAGAATTCTTTTTCTTAAAAAGCGTCTGAAGTAAAACACAAAATCAAGAGAGCCTGGCTATCAGTTTCACTGGATTACTGTATGTTTTTCAAAATCAGTAATAGTTCTAAAGAACAGACGGCCTCTTCTCTAACAAGATCATTATCCTAGTCATTAACAAGAATTGTCTACTAAAGTTCAAGAGCAGCTAGCAGCCCCTCAGTTCTTTTTCTGCCTCAAATAAAGTTAAAAAGATTCTCTTTGTACTCTTTCTCTTTGCAAAAAAACTGCATTCTCACACATTTTGTCATCTTTGTGGTTTAAAAGTATTGTTATAACCTGTTGTTTTTTACAGCATGAGACAGTTTTTGTCTGGGAAATGCAGAGTCCATAAGCACAAATATCATTCTTGTCTGTTGTTTATAACTGTCTTACACATATCTTCCTACCTTTCCACTCCCTTTGCAGCTCCCTAACCCTCCCTATCAGCTCTCTCGTGATGTCCTAGTAGCTCATCTCGAGCCCTGTGTCGACCTTCACCACACTTACCTGGAATATATTTGTTACCAGAGCTTGTTTTTTGAACATGCAGGAGAGGTGCCTTGTTGAACGCTGTAGCATAGCTAAATATGTGGGATTTCCAGGTTACTGAGAGGTTGGCACAGGGGATAATAGGCCTCCTACTCAAAGTCAATATCCACTGCTTCCTCCTGCCCTTGCTCTCTTCTGCTCCGAGTCTGCATCAGTGCACTGGTGTCTTCACACTGGAGTGACTCATGCTCGGTCTCCTCTTGGTCTGAGAGCTTTTTCCACCTACCTGCTTATCAGTTATTTAATTCACTGACCTGTTCACTCTTTTTGTCTGAGCGTCCATTATCTGATTTGCCTAATCCCCTCTCATCCATTTTCGCCTTACAGATGAAAAAGGAATTTTTTTTTGTCTTTAATTTTCTGTTGTGACATAGCCGTGACTTAGGCTTTGTAAGCTTTGATATCTCCGGGAGCCAGTCAAGATGTCCCTTTGGTTGACTAAAATATGTGCTTAATATGTGTCTAATCCTTAAAGCTGGTACCACATGAGGTGGGTTCCTGCATGGCTAAAGGAAGTGTAGAAAGTTTGCAGCTTTTATTGTTTTCAGTTGAAATATAATTGTTTTCCCACCAACGCTGTATTATATACTCCTCACTTCTTTTCTACTTGTCTTTCCAACCTGTTGACCGTTGTAACACTTATACATGGACATATGCATGGTCCCATTTGTTGTCCCTGTTCTCTGCTCTGCCTACTCCTTCCGTCTCGTTCCTTTCACACCCGGCCTTTTTATTTTCTACCTCAGTCTCCCTTCTACCACTCACGATTCCCTCCAACCCCTCTTATCTTCAGAGTCCCTGGCCTTGGTGACAGACAGACAGGTACTGGGCTTGGTCAGGCTGTCATAAGTTGGATGGCACAACAGGCTGCCAGGCGAAGGCTGCCACCTGAGGGGGTACTAGGTTCTGACACCTCTATTAACCTTCAGGAGATGTCCATCCCCCGTCACACCCCCGCCTCCTCTCCTTCCTGCTCTTCCTCATCTCTATCTCCGCCTGTCCCCTGTCTGCTGTACCCCAGGCGGAGAAAAACCTGCTTGTCCCCAGAGCAAAAGAGCCAAATAACAAATACCTGTATTTTCGTCTCTTCCCAACCTGGAGCATTTCAATATGCCATGGATTTCTATCTCACTTTCTCAATTATCCAGTCTGTCTCAGGCTCTTTCTGTCTTTCTCTAGTTCCAGCCCTTAGTACTGCGATCCAGTATTCATACAATGGCCTGTATGTCAAGATATACATATGGCCAGTGGCAAAATGCATGATTTTGTGCAGTGATGCATAGTTAAACGGTGGGACAAATTGCTGCAGCTTTCTCATGTCAATTAACTGGAATAATGGAAGTTAATGAAAACCAAATGAGACAGATTAAATCAGATGTAAACATGTTTTATTAACACATGCCCTTTTTATCTTGACAATAATCCAAATATTATTTGGTTTTATTTAAAACCGATAATAGTAGATCATGACAGAATCTGACAGCCCACATGTTAGTCAGCTGCATTCACCCAATAATCTATTTATGTCTTTCTCTCTCATTTTTGCCCTGCAGGAATTCTCTTTACTCCGACTGGACGATGTGGTGGACCAACGAGTGAACATCGTCGGTTTTTCAGTCTTCAACAAAACTCATCCTTTCTTCCAGGATTTTGTGCTCAGTCTCAACCGCTCCTGGCAAGAGAACTGTGATCACGCACCCTTCGCTGGCACTCCAGTTAGTAGACACAACCACACACGATCTCACACACACAGAAAAGATCAGGGTTACCAATCTAGGAATTATAGATTAACCCTTTTTATTTATTCCCCTTACCAAGCCCAAACAGGTCCTTCTAAAGCATTACTTTTCCAGTTATACGGCTGTATCTCAAGCTGACCAACTAAAACACTGAAGTCACTTAGACACAAAAATGCCTCTGAAATATACAGAGATGACATTTATACAGTTAGTGGTTGTAATTGCAGGTGTTGCTGGAGGCAGTTGTTGTTTCCTAGACAGCTCATTAGCAGTGCTTGGTACTCTCCTTATTACATTTATAATGGCATCTTCTTTGTTAAATTTGCTTCAGAGGAAATGCGAGGCAAAAGAGCCCCGCTACATTCACAGCATCGCCCCTTAAATTGCCCACTGTTTTCGTCTAAACATTGTTTGTTGCTCAACATTTAACATGTTTTGCTCTATGCATTTGAATGAGTCACCAGGCTACTGTTTACATACGAAGAACCGAAGACTGTTGGTGGTTTGTATTTTAAAAACCTCAAAAAAGGAGATAGATCATTTGCCTCATGCTGCCTCAACAGTTTTATTTTTTACATTTGAGCCAACCATACTAGAAACATTGGCCCTTATGCTTGAACATTTTTTACTCTCGGCATAACACTCTCAGACCTATTTTATGAGGTAGGCTTATCAGAGTTGTCCACGTCAGATTCAGCAAAATAAAATTTTGTAAACAACTTGCATAAACATGACAAATGCCACCTATTTGCAATTGACCACTTGTTTATGAGACCAAAATTTATGAGATTATTATCTGACTCCCCAATAATCCCTCTCAAGGCAAAGCTCTCTCACCCAAGTGTCACTCATAAAAACGGTAGCTGAGAGTAACAAGGAGAACTTCATCAGCTATTAGATTGAATTTCTGCTCTCAGAGAGCACTAAAGAAAAGATTACTGTATTATTTCTTACATGTCAATAGTGGTATTAACTTTGTCTTCACACATAGCATATTAAAATGTTGTTCCATTATTAGTGTTGAAACTAACAAAGCTTAGAGTATAATAATTGTACATATTGTTACATCTTACACTAAAAACAATGTAATATATTTATAACAATAGTGGACATTAATTATGTGAATATGTGAATAAAACAGTCCATAGGTAAACATTTCTACATGATTATACACATACATATGTGTTAAATAGTATGTAAATGTATATATTTGAGCTGAATTTCTTCACAGTAATTAAAATATCGTATTTATTCAAAACATGTTGTGAATAATTAGAAATAGCTGCTAACAAATACAACAAGAACCAACAGGAACTGCAAATAAAACAGGGTTCGCAAATCTTCTTTTTCTTAAGGGCTTCATTAGGAACCAGATATTCATTAAAGTCAATTAATGAATGAATCCCTTTCTCTGTTTGAAGCTAAGAAAAAATTAAACAAACAAACTCATACATTCACCCATCACCCCCATCTGCTTCGCACAAGCTGGGTGGTAAAACAGGTTAAGAATAGTTTGAACACAGTTTGAAAAAATGTTGTGTTTTGTGCGCAGCAGGTCACTTGGATACTTCTGAGCCTGCAGCAATTAGGACTTGTGACTAATTAGCTAATAACTAGAGAGAATAAAGGCTGATGAAGGCAGAGCAAGAAAGTGATTAACTCATTTAGACATGCACATAGATAATTTGCTGTCTTTTCATTAACAGTAATTAGGTCTGGAGGAAATGTAACTGTAGGGCTCATACATACAAAAAATGAATACAAGTGACCTCTTTACGTGTGTAGAGCTGAGACGTTTTATGCATTCAAAGATAAAGACTTGCACCATGCCAACTGATCATTAAGTTCATCTGAGAAGATGCAGGCAGCTGCATTTTAAGTGGGTATTTTACAGGAGACAAGTTATTGTATTACAAATGATGCTGCCTTTAAATATCTTGCAAAAATCAGCATCAAGCAAAGTAACCACACAGACACACAGCGAGGCCTCATTTTTATCTGAGACTAAAATATCAGTAGGTACACAACATGTGACTCTATTTGTGTTAGAGAAACTCAAACAAAACCAATGGTTCAGAGGTTTTAGTTACAGTATTATTTTTTGTAAAACAGGAAATAGTGGAAGCAGTTCATGTTGGCATACAGAGTGTGGTACACAGGTGGAGTACACCTTTGAAAGAGGACACCTGAAGATTTCTACAAGTAACTTTCAGTTTGTTTATGAAAAAAAAGATACATTTTAAGACAGCAAAACTTATATACAATGTAATTATGTACAATGGCTTCTGAAGCATAAAGTACTAAATACTGCTGTAAAATTTTGCCATTCACTTTCAATTGCTGACCTGACTGATTGACTTTATCTGTTCCCACCAACAAGACATTATTCCCATATGTCAAACCTAAAATGCTTTGACTTGTGAGTTATAATGTCTCCACAGGCTGTTTGTGTACACCATATTGCTCTTAATGTGCAATCCACCAATTATGTTACCCAATTCAAGGTGGTAATACATCGCAGTGTTATAGCTTAATGGCCTATTGTAGTTCTCTTTGGTCTCCAAATTTTACTATGCATCACAGTCCCTCCTAGCCCTCTATCAATATCCACCAAACATCACGGCCATTTCATTAGTGGCCAGTTTCATTTCTGGTTCCATTACACAGATGTACGGCACTGAAGCTAGCTTCTAATGCAAGGCATCATGCATTTTAATCAAATGTACATAGCAGGATGCAGTGGTAGTGACGACGGGGCTGTTTGTACAGGGGAGATGAGAGGAAAAGCTGCCTCTCCCACTGTTTTCTGGCCCTCGCTGAGAGAAGCAGGCAGTAATTGGAATGGTCAGGGTGTGCCAGCTTCATTGGGGATAAGAGTAGGAAGGACATAGACTCTCCAAGAGATGGAGAGAGAGAGAGAGAGAGTTAGAGAGAGAGAGTTAGAGTGAGAGAGATAGATGGTTTCAACACTGTCAGCAGATCAGAGTCTTTCTAATGATCTAATGGAATAATCTCACTGCCACTCTAGGGATGCGTTAACCCCTCACTGACCGTTAACCACTGACATGTTACACTTGCCGTTTGTGTGCCTTTAGTTTTTGTGTGTGTGCATAAATGTGTGTGTCTGTGTGTGTGTGTGTGTGTGTGTGTGTGTGTGTGTGTGTGAGAGAGAGAGAGAGAGAGAGAGGATGTGAATGCATAATATATTCACCTTCTTCCTCTCCCCCTCCCTCTGCAGCTCTCCTCAGCTCTGCTCTTTGATGCGGTATACGCGGTGGTGGCGGCGGTCCAGGAGTTGAACCGTAGCCAGAATGTTGGCGCCACTCAGCTTTCCTGCAAGTCCTCCAAGATCTGGGAGCATGGCACCAGCCTCATGAATTACCTGAGAATGGTAAGATTGCCTCTGCTGGATGGGATGAAAATAGGCAACAGGACTGACCGGTGTTTAACTTAAAGGAATAGTCATAGACATTTTGGGACATTATTATTATTCATACTGTTTAGCTTAGCATAAAGACTGGGAAAAGGGAGAAACAGCTAGCCTGGCTCTGTCTAAAGGTAACCAAATCTGCATGCCAACACCTCTAAAGCTTGCTTACTTACTTACTTACTTACATTTGTATGTTATTATCTGTTGCCGGTGAAAATATTTAAGCTCTAAAATATTCAATCAACATGTAGACAGTAAAGCAGAAATAAACATCTCCATAATCTTGACTATCTAATGTCATCTAATTGATATTGTAATTTCCTGCAAATGAAACAGAATAAACAAAAACAGCTTAGCTTAGCATAAAGACTGGAAACACTGGGAAAGAGATAGCAGTACTTACAAAGCTAACAAATTAACATGTTATTTCTTGTTTGTTGAATCTGTACAAATAACTATTTCTTGGTCGGGCGCAGTGACCTCATGGTCTCAAACCGTGAGATTGCCAGGCAACCAGCAGAAACTCCAGGAAGACACCCCACAAACTTTGTTTTTGTACAGCTTAAATAAATGTGATATAATTAGTTAATTTATGAGTCTTAGAACTGCTGGTGGGCGGATTTTGTTACCTTGATACAAAGCCAAACTATTTCCCTCGTTTTCAGTCTTTACACTAAGCCAAGCTAACCAGTTGCTTCACCACACATTACTGACAGTGGTAACAACCTTCTCATTTAACTCCCAGTAAGAAAGCAACTAAGCATATTTCCCAAAATGTCCCAATTTCTTACTGTTTGTTTTTGTTTTTAATTCTATTTTCTTACTCTCTCAACAGGAAAGGCAGGAAAGAGCAATCATTAATGCCAAATGATCCTAAAAGCCTGTTGAGATTGTTGTTATTGCTTCACTTTCTTCATGTTAATTGGTTATTTTAGAGCCCAGATATTTTCATTGACAGCAGATAATATTGTTTGGTCTGCCCTCTCGTCTTCTTTAAAGGTCTACTCCATATCCACTAGATCAGTTTATCTTATTGTTACATCATAGTGAGAGACAAGAGAGAAGGAGAAATGAAGATGAGCTGTCAGGGAATAAAGTGTGTTTTCCTATTATGGAGAAATGTCTGTGATTGAGCTATCGAAATACTTAAATGTGACATGTGTTCGATATCAGACTCTTTGTCTTTCTTTCTCAGAGGAAGAAGACGTGACTAATGGCTCTTCTATTTTGCTGTAAATTGAAGATATTATAGCCTCGTCTTCATATTATTATCCTAAATTTGACATATTTGAAAAGGCTGATACTGAGCCAGTAGCGCTAATGTAACCTCCAGTCACATCCATAATAGGTGCTGCGGAGAAGGAAGCGGCACAGTACTTCTTAAAGACCTCCCTTTTAACATGTTGCTGTCTCTGTGTTGGATAGGTAGAATTGGAAGGTCTAACAGGCCACATTGAATTCAACAGCAAAGGCCAGCGATCTAACTACGCCCTGAGGATCATGCAGAACAGCAAGGATGGCCTAAGGCAGGTAAAGTGACTCCCAATTTTGAACTACAAATGGTATCGTCTGTCTTCAAAATAATCACATGCTATATGGATAACATTAGCACAGCCTTGCTGTAGCATGTACTTCATGTGATTTATTCAAAAGAATTTACATATGAATATTGTGGTAGTTTTTCAGTGACTTATGCCTCCATTTTCACTGGCCTTAATACACCTGTTATCGCTGTAAACAAAGTTCTTCAGCACAGCCCTGATCCCTGTAGGGAACTACTTCTGGCAAATGTTACAGTTGTCTTTATGGCAGTGATGTAACTCAAGATGGATCGTACAGCAGGGAGCCGTGAAAACACTTGCTCAACTGACATCTTTTGGTGCAAACAATCCCCATTATCCTGCTAGCAGAAGTGTGATGGTGCCAGAGGACAAAATTAAATATTAGGGCTGCCTCTTTGAAGGTGCAAAGAAGCATATTTTTACAGAAAATTAATTTAGGTTAAAACAAAAGTCAGTAACACTGGCTCTGCTGCTGCTGCTGCTGCTATTATTGGTTTTACAGATACGTCTGTAGGATTTAAATTAGATGCATATTTGATCTTGTGATTCTTTATGGAATAGAAGAACAATTAGTAATATTTTAATTTCTTGTCTAACAAAATAACTATAATTTATCAGCAGATATTTGTGGGTGGTGTTGATCAATACCAGTCACTCCAGTATTTCCTCAGAGGATGCTTGGTTTTCAGGTTTCCAACACAAGCAGCCTTTTTGTGCTCTTTCATTTAGTGAAAATACTCGACATGCATCACCAGGCATTTCAGTCTATGCCCTGAACCAGAACTACCCTGTACAATCTCTGAAACTGGTCTCCAATGACATCACTTTGCCTCAGTTTCACACCAGGGAACACTGTTTCAAATACTTTACAATTTCTTCTAGATTGAACACATTTACCAGAATTACAAAGAAAAGTAGTCTGTAATGAAATGTAAGTGACAAGAGGCTTTGAGCAGCTTCGAGTACTGTCTGTTAATGAATGGATGGCAGCAACCGGTGCTCTTGTGCAATGTACTGTATCAATTGCTCAGGGGTTGGTGCTATTATTTCAGGGTTTGCAGTGCTTCATGTTAAGGATCCACAAATCAGAAGGCATTCAACATCAGATCTCTAATATCTGACTTCAGACACTGTCTGAAAAATGTTTTGTTTGGTAATGATATACCCATCATCATATAAAATCATCCCACATGTTCTCTCATTGTAACAAAGTAAATGTTGAAATAGAGAACTGAGAACCCTCTGATGAAGAAGAGACAAGGTAGCAATTGCTTCAAATCTAAGGGCCTGTCCTCACAAATAAGTTTTTCTCAAATCCGGATAAATACTTTATCGTATCGGCCTCGCGTCCAGACGGATACGCCGTTTTCGGGGTGTGAAAACTGTATTTTTTGGAAACGGCTCCCAGAGTGGGAAAATCTGAAAACGCCGGAGTCGTCTGGACGGTGAAAACGTATTAGCCCCGCCTCTCTAGCCTTTAACCTCAGCCGCCACCGCTAGACGCATCATAACAACAACAACAATGGCGGACTACTACTACTTGTTTGTAAACAGCGCATGCTCCATGGCTTCTCTTCCGGTTTTAGTGTATTGGTGTCGCGGCGTCACAGCGCCACACACAGGCCTGGCATATGTACTACAGCGTTTTGGGTTGTTTCAGTGAATCCGTGTGGACACAGATATTTCTGGAAATGACACCATGTTTACGGAGATTTTTTTTGAAACAACATCGTATTGGGTGAGGCCGCGTATTTGTGAGGACAGGCCCTAGGACTGGCTGAGGAAAATCTGTTTGGGCAAAGTGATTGCCCAATACTCTCCCATCCATCAACAGCCTCTCCGAATGCTCGAGTGGTGCTGAGCCGTCAGCAGCAGTAAAACTCTGTAGTTGAAATTCCAGATAGAAAATATAGGTTGTATGTGAGTAATGGGATCAAAGGTAAACATCAGCACAAAAGTACCAGAAGCCTTAGCTGAGTGACAGAGTTATGGATCAAGATGAAAAATCTGGCTGTGGTCGTGTTTGCTTTTATGGTAAAAAAAAAAAAAAGTCTGGTAACCCTAGGTTTCAGAAAAATCATGAAGATCTTTCCTGTGAGTCAAAAAAAAGCTAAAGTTGTCACTTTTTACACTGATGTGATCTGACGGATAGCACAATGTGTGATAACTGTGTGATGTGGAATAAACCGTGGATAAATAAGAATATATTGCGGAACCAAAATAAAATTTAAAAGGGGGAAATGTTTATGGCTGAGTTATATAAGTAAATATGTTTTTTCAATATCTTCTGCTAGCCCCTATTTAAAGAAGCAGAAGTTTTTTCATGCCAACAAAGTATCCTGTCACACAGTGCACAGCCGTTCTTGATATTGTCTGTGACATTAGAAAACCCTACATGTACGTAACAGTGACAGTACTGCCTCACAATGTGTTTTTCAAAAGAAAATGGGTCATTTCTGCTAAAAGACAACTGCTGATAATCATGAGCGAACAAGCATAAATTAATCTTCAGTGTGTCCTCGAGCCTTTATCAAGAAACATCCATAATCACCAGAAGCATGAAGTGCTTTGGACACGAGTACTGTGCGCACGTAAGCATTTTAATTCAAATACAGACCATTACTATATTGTATGTATGTTATGATCTACTTCATACATGTTTGATTTTGTAATTGGTAACCTGTAAAGTTCACTCAGGTTTACCTTTAGCTAGCTTCTTGAGTGACATTAATGTTTCATACTGACATCAGTGGACATGTACAGTGTGTAAGACAAACAACAGTAAAGACACTGGTGAGCTCAGGGTTGAATATATACATCTACCTCTGTGGTCATTATTAGTGTATTTGTCTCATGCATTTTGATATCTGCTTTGTTTACTCCAGTTATGGATGCCAAAGTAAACACATTAAGCAAGTTCTCTGCACCTGGAGTTTTGTGGCCAGTAGATGTTCATCTATAAACACACATAGACACACAATCAAGCAAACATCTGCTCGTTTGCTAAACTGAGTATGGTAGTAGTTTTCCTCTTTTTCTCAGTCCCTCTCATTGTCTCTGCCTCTGTCGCTCACATTCAGTCAATACAATTAAAGGATTACACCTGACTACTTGTTATGTGGGTCCCATTATGAGTGAATAGCACAGACTATTCTGAAGGCCATCATTTTTACATACGGTAGCTGATGTTGTGTGCTACTTTCACACAGCTTGTTGTTAAAACCCTATTTTCTATAAATACCAGAACTTGATATTACACATTTCATCTTAAGGCTTGATGTTTGATGTAAAGCGATAACTGTAATCCTTCAAACTTATGCTTTTTCATGGTGCTGTAACAAAGTATGTATAGTATTTCCCCTGGAAATACCTGTCTTTCACCCTGACAGCTATAGCATGCTTTTCCCTGCTGCCCTGACTATTGTGTTTTCCTGTCAATGCTGCATTTTATATGATGGTTATTAACTTATCTCTAATCCAACAAACCGTCACCACTTTGCTGTAGCAGATAGCTGTATTTGTGCTTTCTTATCTGCAGCTTTTTTAAGTAGCTGTTGTTATACTATTATGACAGTTTGACACAAAAGAGAGGAATAACTGAGTTTCACAATGCTGTTTTAAAACATTTGACCCTTTCGGTTGCAATGATCTCCATGAAAGAGGGGATTGAGTTCCTGCCTGAATGTGAGAAAAATCTTACCTAAGCAACCCGTACAAGAGTCAGACAGCGGCCCATCTGCCTTTATTAACCTTGTCTGTGTCTCCCCATGTCCCCTTTTTATACTGGCACTGGGCCAGCCAGGCAGAAGTATAATGCTATCAGGCTTAATGTGATGATTTCAACCAGAAGTATTATAAAGCAGCCCTGCCAGTTATGTTAATGGGGAGAGGCAAGGTGTTAGACGAGGGATGGGATGGGGGTGTTGTTTGTTTTGTTGACTTAACACCTCCCACATGCTGTTGGGTTGGGGCTGCTTCAGCCAGGCAGACACTGGAGGTGCCAGGGCCTTGGCAGTGATAAAGAAGGTGGCTCACTGCCCACACACACACACACACACACACACACACCTACACACACACACACACACACCTACACACACACACACACACACACACACACACATCTACACACACACACACACACACCTACACACACACACACACCTACACACACACACACACACACACACACACACACACACACACACACACACACACACACACACACACACACACACACACACACACCTACACACACACACACACACACACACCTATACACACACACACACATACACACACACACACACACACACAGTATTTGCAAATCAACACATGACAAGATAGATATTTCAGGTCTGTTGTTTAATTAAAATACAGTAGTAGTGATCCACATTGGGTCTAGCCAGTAAATGGACATTAAAATAAGATGGCTCTTGATTCAAAATGCAGTCTGAAAAGAGAGAAGAACAAATTCCATCAACTTCCATCCAACACTTTCTGGAGATAGAGGGCAGTGAGGCACGTATTACACAGCAGCCAACCTCCATTTCTCTACCTTACTTCCTCTCTCTTTCCTCAGTCAGTGGTACCCACCACCCTGAGCCCTGTGCCTGCACTATAGATCGCCTAATATTTGTGACCATCAGCTCCTCGGGGGGTTCAACACCCTACAGCCAATCACTGTTCCAAATTGAATTTCTCTGGCAGGCATTTTCACACATTAGAGCAGTTTCCTGCTGCTCTGTCTGCTCCGCCTTTCTCTGTTTTATCTTGTAGATAGCTAGTCTATCTACCTAATATCTGTCTATCTATCTGTTTTCCCGTCTGTCTATTTAGTCACCGTTACGGATTGTTTTCTGCATCACTTTATAGCCTAATGAATAATGAGCACCAGTCATTGGACCTGCTTTGCATCTCTGATGAAACTATCAGCTCTGAGTATTAATCATTGGTTGTGCTTGAACA